TGATCAGGAGCTTTCATGTCTGAACACCTGTGGTCTGTATCTCCTCCTTTGGCCAGCTTATGATTCCTGCAGGGTATCTGATCACTGGCAGGGCATAGCTGTTGATTGCCTGCACCTTGTTCTTGCCATTGAGCTGGCTTCTTAGGACTTGTCTCACTCTTTGCAGGTATTTGGCCGTAGCCGCTTTCCTCGTTGCCTCTTCAAGGTTGCCATTTGCTTGTGGGATACTAAGATACTTGAAACTGTCCCAACGTCTGCTGTTCCCTCTGGGAGTGCGACCCCCTCTGTGTGGACTACCTTCCCTCTGTCACCATCCTGCTACGTTTCTCAAGCCCAAATGACATTCCAATGTCTGTGCTGTAGATCCTGGTGGTGTGGATCAGTGAGTTGATGTCTTGCTCGCTCTTAGCATACAGCTTGGTGTCATCCATGTAGAGGAGGTGACTGATGGTGGCCCCGTTTCTGAGTCGGTATCTGTTGCCAGTGCAGTCGATGATTTGGCTGAGGGGGTTCCGACCTACGCAGAACAGCAGTGGGGACAGTGAGTCTCCTTGGTATATGCCACATTTGATGGACACTTGTGCAAGTGGCTTCCTATTGGCTTCAAGGGTGGTTTTCCACAGCCACATCGAGTTTGCAATGAAGGCTCTTAGTCCTGTTGATATTGTACAGCTCCAAGCACTCAGTGATCCATGTAGTGTGTGTGTGTATATATATAATATGTATATATATATATATATAGTGTGTATATATATGTGTGTGTATATATATATATGTGTGTGTGTGTATGTATATATATATATATATATATATATATATATATATATATATATATATATATATATATATATATATATATATGTATATGTATATGTATATGTATATGTATATATGTGTGTGTGTGTGTGTATATGTGTATATATATGTATATATAGATAGATAGAGATATATAGATATATATATATATAGATATATAGATATATAATATTATATAGATATATATATATTATATAGATAGATATATTATATATATATTTATATATATATTATTATTATTATATTATATTATAGATAGATGTAGGCCTGTAACGATAACAAATTTTGCTGGACGATTAATTGACCAAGAATTTATTGCGATAAACAATAATATTGACATTTTGAGACCAATTTCAACTAATATAATGACCATTGAATAAAAATGCAAATACATCCTCTCAATTATCAATAAACTTACACTTCCTGTGTAAATCTTCTTTAGAAAGTAAGACAACCAAAAATAACAGGCCTAAATAAAACGGACTTAACATAGGACTAGCATAATGGGTCTGGCTCACAGCATGGACTTGTTAAAAATGCACTTGAATAAACTACTGCTGAACCAAATACAACCAAAGCATTAAATAAAATGCATTATTAAGTCTCTATAACAAAATTGTCCTTTAAAAGTTATTTTAGTCACTGACTTACATTGGAATATTGTGTCTCCTCTCTCTGTGGCTGTTGCTGTAAGCCTCGGCGTTTTGGTCATGCACTGTTCGTATTAACCCGCGACACAGGATGTTATTTCGCTATGAGGGAGCCTTTGTCCTGTCTGTATTGTGTTGGTTTCTTGTGGGATTTCAGGCTCTCCCGGGCGCTAGGCTAGTTGTGTCACTCGGGTTTGGGTTTATATCGGCTGTTGGGGTTTGGGACATTTCTTCTCGTCGTTTGCGTTTCGCTCGCTGCATTTTACGCATGTGGCTGTTGAGACGTTTCACGCTCACCAGTGTTGATTCGGCAACGTGACTTGTTTTGGCGATGAACGGAGATGAACTGTTTTGTCACTCTGACAGTGACGCTAGCCTGTGCTGCTAGCGCACCGCACAGACAGCGCTTCTGCAAATACAGAACGCGCGCATCCGCTGTGTTGATAAACACAGCGCACGTTGGTTCAAGCGTCTTTACGCTTGTCAAACGAGAGGAGTCAGAGCGATTGAATGTTTTTGTGAAGGATTCTGCCTGAGAGCGAGGAAACAAACAAGCATGCAAATAGAACTTATCGTGGCTAGAAAAGTTATCGTACGATGAATCGATTTATTGATTATCGTTACAGGCCTATATATATATACACACACACACACACACACACACACATATATATATATATATATATATATATATATATATATATATATATATATATATATATATATATATATATATATATATATATATATATATAAATCTGTAATGTCAGTGTCCTTTTTAGATCGCTTTATGCAGCTGTTCAAAACCTCACTGTATATTTTCCCACCTGCATCCTGAGAGCAACCACTAAAGGAGAATTATATAGGTAATATTACAAATGTAGCTCAATATTTATCGACCAGTGTGCAACGTAGCTAGTCTCTTAAAAATTAGTTGGATTGTAGTTATTGGTCTTATTGATTTTAATAACCAGACTGTTACGGCATTTTATTTATTTTTTTTAAGCATGGCTAGGATTGTTGACACTTGCATTGTTGTTTTTATCAACATACCTCCCAAAATTATAAATAGTATTTGTATATGGTGTAGGGCTGCTTAGCCATTATAGGTTTGCAACAGAAAATATTGCCGTCATAATGTGACAATTCTCTGAAACCAAACCAATTCTCTGGCGAAAATGTCACGTCTATTTTTTGTTAGATTGCAAGAGGATCTAGAACCAGACCACAGACCCCTGGAACTGTCCAATCACTACAGCAAATTTGTAAAATTAGTTAAATGTGCAAGTTATATCTTATATATAAAACACAGTTGGGTTCTTTACTACTTTCTCTTTTAATCCTTGGAAGCCACTTTTTTTTTTAAGATTTGTTATTCCACATGTCAGTCAGATTATGCTTTTGTAAAATAATTTTTTTTAAATAAGAATTTTCAGTAGTAAATAATTCAAGACCTTTTTGTATTTTTCAAAAGCAGTTTGGTATCACAGCGCTCTAGTTATGACATGGCAGGTTTTAATATTACAAAAAATTGAGGCATCACTACTCACTATTATGTTTATTATAATTCACATACACTCACACTGTCACCTTACCAGTTACTAAACCAGGATTATCAACTCTGACTGCAGACCTTATTAGATGTGCGCACTCATGTTTCTTAATCTTGCCCCCTTAAACATGCCTCCAACATCTTCTTCCTCACCCGTTTGCTCTGTAGGCAGCAAACATCAATTATGTATTGATGAAAGAAAAACTCATTAATGGGCATCAGGTTGTTTAATGGTGGTGATCATGCTTGTTTTCATGGCCATTAATTGCGTAGTAGAAGATGTTTGACTTCTCCTCAGCCTGCCACCAGCAGACAGCAGTCTGCTGCTGACAGTGATGCATGGGACCCCCAAAGTCACATTGATCAAAGAGGAAGTGTCTGCTCATACAGACCTGCACTGGCCAGAAGCTGCAGCTTGGATGAAATTTTATTCCTAATTTTAAAAACATCCCATAGAACAAAAAATTAATTAATTAATTAAAGGCATGTTTCCATTTTAGGTTAGTAAACCCGAAATATCCATTGCATTGTGGATGTGCTGGTGAAGGCAGATCCCATTGTTGCCTTAGTTTAAATTACTTGGTCACATTTTCCCTCAGTCTTTGAGTATGGGTTTTGGCAAAGATATAAGTGTTTTCTACTGTAATCTTTAGATTTTTGTGCATACACACTAAGTGAATTAAATGACTACAGTTTTAAAACATGCCCTAAAGGCAGGTTTCACTTCAATGATATCAAATGGCTTTGTCTTTCACTTTTAGCACTGCAGTTGTGTATGTACTTGCACTAAAGTGCACATGCCTTTGTGTGTAAGTATTTTGCCTTCTCATATTTCTGTCAACTCTGTCGACAATCCCAGCGTTTATGAGATTACCAGAGCCCATTTGTGCTCCGGCGGGAGCCATCTTGGCTCAGAGGAGGCCTCTACTGGGAACCATCTGGGCTCAATTCAAAGCAGTTTCCACTATTGCTAGTGCTTTTAGAATTATCACAAAGATATTTATCCAAGTAGTTTGTGAGTTTGGCTATAGATTTCTGTGTGCTCTTGAAAATGTAAACATTTTTTAAACATTGTAATATGCATGCAAATACTGCTGTGTAGTTTCAAAAATCCCTGTTTGACAAATTCTCTTTAAACGACTTTTCACTTAAAACTCACATCACATCTATGTGCACTCAATACCCATATTTTCTATAACAATTCTGCTATTTATACACTGTGTTGGTCAGTTTTGCTTTGCTTTTTCATTATTATTTTCTTATTATTTTAAGTGTTGCATACATAACAGGCTGCCTATCTCCAATAGCTATTCAGGAAATGTATAATATACACTTAATGTCTTGGTCTTATTCCGCCAGGATCATCATCAAAGCTTTACTTATACCTCTTTATTGAAAAATAAAAAATAAAAAATAAAAGTTACGTTTTTATTTTTTTCAAAAAAGTGATTGTGTTCATTAATATCTTTTAGCTTGGGCCGAATATAAGCTTGGGAGGTTTACAAACTTAAATCTCCTCAGATTTCCCTGGCGACTGCACAGCTAAGCAGCCTTAGTTTTAATCGCTTGACTTCTCCCTATCTCTTCAGCACACCTGCCCTCTCACTTTCTCGCTGACTGAGGCTTTAGAGAAGAAAATCAATTGACCCCTCCCCCCATTCCTCCGCGTCCATCACTTATGAAACAAAACGTAATGAATACATAATTAGCCTGAATAGGCACAATTTGGTTACAGTCCATTATGGGCAATATTGTGAAAATCTCCTCTTTGTCAGCAGGTTGGCCATTTCTTTCCCTCAATTTGTTAACTTCAGAGACTCCAGAATTACAGATGGTTTACATTATTAAAAAGGAAGATGAAGATATTTAGCATCTTAAATTAAAGGGTATAGGCAACATTTTCTATTTTTTATGGGGTGTATTATACATTCATGTCTTAAAATAAAATATTTTAGATTAAAATTTTATATTTTTTGTTACAGGTGGAAGTTGAAGTAGAGAGCATGGACAAAGCTGGTAACTTCATTGGCTGGCTGCACATTGAAGGCGTCAATCTCTCTGTGGCGCTGGTTGAAAACGCACTTTCCAAGGTCCACTTCACAGCAGAGCGTAGTGCCTACTACAAAACCCTGCTGTCAGCGGAGGAGGCTTGCCGGCAAAGAAAAGAGAAGGTAGGTCTCATTGTAGTATAATATAAAACTCCGATGTGACAATTTTAGAACTGGCCTCAAAGTTTTTCTATTACACCAATGGACCCTAACCTGGATAACTAGAGCAGAAATTCTTACTTGCAGTTATCCCTGCTCTCAGTTCTTCTGTCTGGCTTTGGAAGAATATTAGATTACAGTCCTAAGCGAAGCCTGGTGTTTGATCTGTGTAAGTGTGGTGACTTCATTGCACAAAAGCCTCTGGTCTGATCATATGTTTATGCATGTAAGGCATCAAATTACAAATAATTACGCTTTTGATTTATACGGTATTTGTTCTTGACAGTTATGTCTTTTTACATTGTATTCATTTATTCCCTCCACCTCCCCTAATCTATTAACATAGCCCTCACTACCCTAGAGCTTAGAAGTGGCTGCCATTCTGCACCCATGGACACTCAGACCACCACCACTAATCATTCATTCACACACCACTTTTATGCATGGGAAAAGTAAGGGGTCTTTCCACAGAACACACCAATATGCAATGTTATACGCTGGGGTTCAATCCATAGACTGTATAAATGTACATAGCTAACCCGCTAGCCGTTACGTTCCAAACAGGAAGTGACCACGGGCCCTCTTCTAGCTTCATCGACTGCAGCTCAAATTGACTTTGTATTGAAAAAATGACACCCCTCTCTCCTGAGGTCATCCTGCTGCTGTCAGGCTAATCATTTTGATCTTAAAATGTTGGCATTAATCTGCGCTATATGATCCTAGTGGTTTTATTTCACTGGTTTGTCCGCTATTAATTCCTATTCCTAATATGGAACTTGGCTCCAAATTTGCTCATATAACAGGGTAGCCACGGGGTCTTAAAAGTCTTAAAAAGGTCTTAAATGTCATGTTCCTAAATTAAGGCCTTAAAAAGTCTTAAATTATGTTGTCCAAATGTTGTTGTTTTTTTACAAAAGTCTTAAATTTCTTTAGCCTGTTTTTTTGTTTACTCAACCGTGCTGCGGTGCAATGTTAAATGGAGGAAGGAAAAAAAACGTGAAATCACATAACGTGAATGAACGTCTAATTTGGAGTATGCAAACAATACTTTGGTTTCTGGTGCTGGCGGCAATGAGTAAACAATCAGTACAGTGGAGGAAGACGTTGGATGGGTCATGGGGAAGTGTAGGTTTAATCCACAGTGGTTTAGATTCTAGATATCGAACAGTAGTTGGTTGGTCATTATTAAAATTGGATCTGGTGTTTTTTGCCGGCATAATGGGTGCAATGTTGGTCTTAATTTTAAATTTATTGGTATTAAAAAGGTATTTAAAAAGTCTCAAATTTGGGGTAGTCAAACCTGGGGATAACCTGTATAACTGCTAGCCTTGTGAACTTCATTTGATTGGAGCCAAATGTTATGGGTGACATCACACTTGCTTAGTCCACTTCTTTATACAGTCTATGGCTGAACAGCCAGTCCTAGATAGAATGTGGTCACTGCAAACAATGGATGCATACTTGTAACTAGGTCTTGGCTCTTTGGGGGTTTCTTGATAGATTGAGCCTCATCTTGCTCTGGTCTGACCTTGGCCTGCATTATTTTTATGGCTCCACTCTTCAGTCCAACCGCATGCTTGATATGCCAGCTGTCATGATTGTCCTCATTCATTTTTATCATTTGAACTTCTTTTATTGAAAGCCTTTGTAGGGCTATGAGTGAGTGAGTTTTAGGGATGGGACAGTAAACTATATTATTGGTAATTGTGATTTAAAGAAAAGGGATACAATAATTGTTCCTGGTACACTGTGATACTTTTTGTATAATTGTGGTCATCAGCAACAAAGATAATGTCTGTCATAGCGATTTAACCCCTGAACTTATTCATATTATGAAATTGTTAATGTCTTTTTAATTTTATTTACCCTTGAAAAAAAGTTTGCCAGTCCTCTAACTTGAGGGACTGCAGTCCCAGATTTTCACTCCATCCCATTGCATAAATGATGTTGCATCCTTGAACAACACACTTCACCTACCTTTGAGCTTTTAACAAGTTGAAGTCAAAATTATGGTGGTCAAGTGCACTTTTGTATCCTTTGACACTGAAAGAAACTCTGCCTGCCATCTGAACACACAGGTCTTGCCATGTTAAATGCAACTCCTGCCCATTCTTGACACCGCTGTCAATTTCACTAGAGGTCTGTGGCAGTCCTTTGCAGCAGTGAGACAGATAGGCTTTCTGCACACAGGTTTGACTTCAGCTAACCTGAGTGTGGACAGAGTAGCAATGATGCCTGGGTTGAACAAACATTGATTATGTGTGACTTTATTTAGATACAAGCTCTGCTGATCTTGAATATTTTGGTCTGTTTGTGTGTTTTCATCAAACACTTTTTCATACAGTGTTCAGTCTGTGTAGCTGCAAACTATGCAATTTACAGACAGGAGTTTGGACTGGGTGCTCTAATTAACCCTCAGAGACCACTGAGGGAAAAGTATTTGGTTGGCATTTTTCCTGTCTTTCTTTGAAGTGGTGCCTTGTCCTAATAGTCTGAGTAGGCTGGGGCTAGGTGGAGCAGATTACGTATATCTAAGTCTCTAAGTCATTTTGTGTGTGCCCTTCTCTCATCCCTCTGGCTGTGGATGAGAAAGACGCATGTTACTGCTGCATCAGGATCCTCGCTGCTACAATAGGGCTGTGAGAAGTAGGAGACAGTGGGTGTGTACAAGTGCTCATTAAGGAGAAATTCTGTTGTCCTGCTGGGACCAAGGGCACACCAGGGGGTTGATGCTTGCTGGGGCAGCATACTGAGCCAAACGAGTTTTTGCTTAAATTGATGTTACGGAATGACTTTTGTTGTAAATGGGACCAAAAGGAGAATTTAGTATGTGTAAATGAAAGTTGGAGAATGAGTTTTGGTGTCTAATTTCATAGTTTCAGAGCTAACAAAAGAAGTATGTTCCAAAGGGAGGTTGTATACTATGACAAAGAATATCTTGACACTGTTAAGCACTGTACTAATGCTTTTTTTTTTTTGCACAGTGTCTGCTTTGTTTTTGTAAGACATTGCACATTTTAAATCATGCTGTCTCCAAAAGCCAACAGCAAGGAAAAGAAACATGTAAATGAGTCAACAGTCGCCTCTCAGTTATAAGTCAAGTGTGCCAACTTCACGGCTTTTTTTTTCTCCTCAGTAATTATCCAACCTTGAAGGAGATTAACACACTCTGATGGGCCTGAGAGGGATCATGGAAGATAGAACAGAGAGGGAGGGAACAAAAGTGGATATGACAGACCATGTTAAAGATATTTCATGTCACAGGCCTCTTTCATCAGCGCCCACCCCTTTCCTGCAGACCTGCTCCGCCTCCTCACATACTACTTCTTTTAATCTCTCCCCTCCACACATCTCGATGTACACTTGTTCACCCAACGTTTTTCCATTGCCCTTCTTCGAATAATCATCCTGGAATCCCCTCTTATTAGCCGGATTAATGTCTTGTCCAATGCCCTGTGTCATGCCCCTCCTCCAAGGCTTAAATTTGGTGCACAGGGGAGATTGTCTTCCCGTTAAAGTATGCTTTGGTTTGGTCACCATGACCCAAATTCCAGTCCACTTGTACCGTTCTTGGATAAACAAAATCTCTGAAAGCAAAATACAGGAGCTGCCATTTCTTATACTTCACTTGTCCATCAACTCGGCCCATCAAAGATCTCCAAGCCACATTGTTCTGACATTGAGCTCAGTGATGTGTCCTTGGCTGAGTCTGATTGAAGTACGTAATCTTGTTTTTACTTCTTTTGGGTCCGGTCCAGGGTTTCAGGTCTGGCCAGCATTGACAATTGCCCTTCCCATGGGCCATTGAATTACAATATGCATCTCCTGGCATTAAATAGTCATCATGCATTTTCAGCATACTTGATTATAACCTTGCGTCAATGTCTGTGGAAAATGGCTGCCTTGACCATCTTAATAGTCCTTTTAACAACACATTTTGCCATGTCGTTCCTTGTCATTGTCCATTTTATTCTTCCTGATTTTTGAGAGTGCGAAAACCTGTATCTCCCAGTTGTCCAATCTCAGACGTGACTTCTCAGCAGTCAGCCCATCACACACCTGGCTGAACTGAAACACACTGTGGATAAATCAACATAATTGGGCTTTTAGTGCAGCTAATAGGTTTGTGTCTTTAGGCTCAGGATGATGGAAATTTAGCTTTTAGCTTTTTTTCATGTTTTTTTATGTTTTATATAGTTCAGTTGGACTGAATCTTATCAGATTAACTGAGTATTTTATTTAAATAATTGTCAATTAATTTAGTAATTAAGTTTTATTTAAGTTTATATATGGTTTTTACACAGGCTCTAGAACATGACATGTTCTCAGCAGCTTGTTCAGCAGCACAAGTTTTATTACCATATAATCCATAATTTGGTCAACACTGAAAATGAAGGAATGTCTATTTTGAGGTTTTGATGGAAAGCGTTCTTGTCTGTATGTGTTAACCTGAGATAATCGCAAAATACATTAATGTTAAGTTTTATTTTAATAATAATAGAGTTTCTGTCTTATTGCAAACTATTAAGATGTATACTGTCAGTATAAACCTCCATCTATATCTAAATATAGTACTGAAATGTAAATATGCATCCTTTCTAAGCTTTTTAGCCTCATAAGTAACAGCAATGATGTCCTTTGCCCCTTAAGTTGGAAAATATATCAAAAGTTTTATTATTACTGGTTGTTTTCCCCTGAGATTACCCTAGTGCACCATTTAATCTTTTTATTTGCCTGTTGGAGCTCATTCAAAAACATGTTTTGTATAGCTTTGAATTTGTGAACTCCAGCCTATGAAACAATTTGCCTCTGCACAAAGTGCCAGCATCAGAAACTCTTTGAAATGACTTTAACAAGTGTGGATATTTGCCAGAATTTCCATTTGTCTGTAAAACTGCTTTTGGATAGTTTGTCATATATTTATGTGGGTTTGGTGTAAATTTCCTGTGGGGTTATTACAGCTC